TTATATAAGATTCTTATACATAAATTACGCATTTCCATCGACTGCCTTATAAGATTCTTATAAGATTCTTGCAGATATTCTGTAAGATTCCTATAGGAATCTTATATAAGATTTGATCTCTAGGGCAATATGATCCTATTAAGGTCCTAAAATGACTTAGATACGACGTAGAAATGATGTCATATTAGGGTCATTTCGAAACCATTTCAAGTAATGATATAAAATAATATATTTATATGATCCAAAAAAACGATGTAAATATATGAGACATTCATATGCCATTTTTGTTATGAGATAAATATTACCATCGTCTAGTCATTCAAAGAAGTATATCTGCATCTACATAATAAGTGACTTTTTGCACTTGAGCAGTTTTACATTTACTGTCTTCTGTGGACTCAAAAGCTCAGCAGTTCTTTCTTAGCCATGGATACGATGTGCACTTTGTAAAGTACTGAGGGCAGCACGAGTCCGCCCGAAATAAAATTAATAAACATATTCAAACGAAACAATAAATAATAAACAAATGCATACGGACAAAAAGAAGAGTCGTAGATTGAGCATGATCAAAGCTGATCTTAAAGTACAGACCATAGGCGTAACTACGGGGGAGGCCAGTGGGCCATGGCCCAACACGATCTGAGCATTGGCCCAATACCAAATTGTTTTTGAGTGTTCTGCCCAAAGCTTTCCTTCACCTACCAATCCTGAATAAAGTTTGTGACATGGAAGCGAAATAATGTGCTGCCAATCCAAAGATATAGCATGATTTTTTCTTTTTGGCATCGTTGGATAGAGCTCATCGACTTAGATAGGAAAAAGCCAATTTTTCCTTTTTTTAAGATTTTTCAACGTCATTTTTGCAAGAAAAAATTGAAAAATATTGACTTTTTGAACTGCAGGAAAAAACAGTGAAATTTTCATGTTTGATAGCGTTTCGAAATTTCAAAATCACTTTTTTCGTATTTTCCACCAAAAACTGAGTCTGGAAAGCTAATTCTGGTAACTTTAGAAGCTAAAATGGACTCAGAATCTGCGGAGTACGAGCAGAATGGTAAAGGGACTGCCAGTCAATTCTACGAACCTATCTAGTCCTACGATTTTCGAGATAAAATTCCTTCTTTTACTTCATTCTGATCGCGATACGTGTGGAAAAAAGGTTAAGCATCTTTTTTGGAAAATTTTGTTTTGTTTTAGAATTGATCCCGGTGGCTTTAATTAACAAAAAAAAAGATGGAAATGAGCCCGGTTCAGAAAAGAAAAAAATTATCTTCACAAAAGAGAGAAATGGGCCCGGTAATTTAGATTTTTTGTATAAAAAGCGAGAAATGAGCCCGATAATTTAGATTTGTTAAATATATAAAAAAATGATCAGTTTAAAAGCATTCTTTTAAAATCAATCTTAGAAGTGCATATATATAATCGTGATTAAGACTAAACGTCAGTATATGGTACGTATATAACATTATCAATTCAACAAAAATATTATCACGCAATTTAATAACAATTAATTCTTCGATGTGTATATAAGGTGTGTATATATGTGCGCTTCTAAGATTGATTTTAAAACAATGCTGTTGAATTGATAATGTTATATACGTACTACATACTAATGTTTAGTTTTAATCACGATTATATATAAGCGCTGATTTTAAAAGAATGCTCTTAAACTGATCATTTTTTTATATATTTAACAAATCTAAATTATCGGGCTCATTTCTCTCTTTTGTGAAGATAAATTTTTTCTTTTTTGAACCGGGCTCATTTCCATCTTTTTTTTTGTGAATTAAAGCAACCGGGATCAATTCTCGCTTTTTTCCGGGCTCAAAACTTATTTTATCCAAATATTATATACAGAAATGTACAGTATGTCTTATTTCTTAATTTGAAGAAAATGAGCGACCTAAGAGACCCGTGTAACTAGATTATGTTATCATGCAAAAGTCAGACAAAATTTATTTCAAATAGATAAGTCTGTTATAAGTGATTACATTTACGTCTGGTTTGAATAAATGAAACTTTAAGAGAACTATAACTCGGAACATTGATGTATTTTTCAGAAACAGGTTTCTTTTAGTTTTTAAGAAATAGAGCTATCAGTATCATAGATAAAAGTTAGTAAAATGGATCCGTTTCAATTTAATTGTAGTGATTTTAACATACATTTTACTAACTTTATTCCGTAATATTGAGATCTCTATATGCTCAAAAATTAAAGAGAGCTTTTTCTAAAAAATAGCATAGTATAGAGTACAAGTTGTGTACTACAAACTGTCAGAAAAGCTGAGGACGGGTACCGTCAAATTCGTTAACTTTTTAATCCGGCAATTTGTCAGAATAAACACTAATTTCATAGTAAAGGGAATCTTTCTTTTTGACAAAACAATAAAATTTGTTCTTTTCTCCATTTCTTGCTTTATATCTCTCTCTATAGTGTGCATAGAAAGAAAAAAACATCCAGTCAAGTATAATACAGAAAAGAATATATACATACATCGTCATTCTGTTATACGATAGTTCCATATTCTTTTTCTCAGGCATATTGAATAATACTGTTCTCAATTTTGTTTCCAATCAAAGGTGAAAATATTCACCGGTGAATAAATTCACCGATGCGACTTTTGACGGCTTCCCTTACTTTGATGGTTATAATTGCAAGCAATTTTTCAACATGTTCCTGAGGTTGTGAAAGAAAGTTTCATAGCTCATTATATAGAGAATTGTGCGCTCTACAAAACGCACTGACTTACATTTTGCGGAAAATCTACTAGATGGAGAAAAATAAACTTTATTGAAAAAATTTTGTTTTTAAAATTAGTCATTTTTCAAATGGTAGGCTTCTGAAAAATCCAGTTCCCGGTTGAAAAAGTTTAGAAACATCTGATTTTGTTCATTTTTTGATGGACTTTAGAATGAGACGTCATTCGAATAGAACGGATAAAATTTGACGAAGTTACAGGCAAAAACTCATGGAGAGCGCTTTTTTGAAAATCTTCGATACACCTAATTTTATAAATTCTATAATTCGGCGAAATCAAGTCCAAACGACCTTAACATTTTTTCATAACCCCAGTTTTGATCATAGAATCCAAAAATAGAACAAAATATATAGGTCAAAAAATTTCACTTGCCCGACTTTTGGCACTATAGTTGATGTGGTGGCAAAATGTCTCTTAAATCGCGGATTCTCACAATCCGGCAGGACGAAAGCTCGATTTTTGGATAACGTTTCAATAGCTGAAATTTCAAACAGACACAATATAATTGGTCAAAAGCCTAAAACCCCTAATTGCCTGAAATTAAAAGCTGAAAGAAAAGTTTTCAATCCAGTATTCTATTATCTATTATATGATTTGGAGGTTAATTCCAGGAACCAAAATTTGGGATAAATAATAACCTACCCGGAGGTTGAAGGCTGTAATATCCGCTCAACAAGAGTCTCACAGTTTTCAATATAAATGCATTTACTTAAAATAAAATAAAATAATGAATTTTTATCCTATTCTATGTCTCAACGTACTAAGAAATTAGAAAATGCTTTCTATAGATCTATGTAATGTAATGCATATAATGTTAAGATAAGATAAAGTGTGTTTCTTTCGTTTGCTTTATGCTATTGTTATCATCATTTTCTCAGTACCTATAGGACGAAGAAAGAATTTGTTTTTCCTACGATACAAAATTAACAGATTTTTTGATTCTTTTTTCTCGTTTTTAGAAAGAAAAGTCTTTACTTTCATAATACATCTGTTTTCATCGAAAATGGCTTCTGCTGTTACTGTTAGTGCCACATCTGTTTCATCACCACCTGTATATGATGTAGTCAAAGTACGAATTCAGCATCTACTGTCAACACACTCACACTCACCTCCATCATCCACGAATAATAATAACACAAACGGTTTAACATTAACTGAACTTTGCCGCGAATATGAACATCGTTATGATAATGAGCACTTACCATATCAAGAATTAGGTTATGAAACTTTAACACGTTTTCTGTCATCGATGAAAGATGTTGTACGTATGGATTTTACTGAATAGCCAGCCAAATGTTATTTACGAGCTAAGACTAACAAACAAGCAGACAAAAAAACAAGCGTACCCGTGCGTAACATTCCCTCTGTCACACAAGAGAATCATAAGAAACAGGTGAGTAGTGAAATATATGTATGTTCACCTTCTAACCATGATACCCTACTTCGCTTTATGTATAACTTAAGACTGGTTCCGCCGTAACGTACAGCGATGTGAAAACAAAGCTCATCTTGTTGTTACAACGATCTAGGGAAACTACTGATAGCCCATCACTTACATTTACAGAATTATGTCATCAATATGCGGACAGAAACAATGGGCGACCATTGCCCTATGAAAAGTTGGGTTATGCATCATTACAGAGTCTGTTAGAAACAATGTGGGATAGTGTGAGGGTGGATAATCGACGATGTTATTTAGTTGATAGGAACGAACATGGAATTAAAAAAGGACAAAATAACAATAAAAAATGGTGAAGATCGGATAATAACAACAGAATAATTGGGTGCCGCTACATGTGATCAGACGATAAACAATAAACGTTTCTTTTATGAATAATTTTATGCCTATTTTTTTGTTGTTGTTTTACTTCAAAAACAATTTTACATTTCCATATTGTTGTTCTCTTTTGTTCTTCATATTAAAAAGGTAGCAGATGTTTCATGTTAGCTAGTACATTTCTGTTCTGATGAATGATACAATATTGTTCGCTTCCACATTCAGTAAAAATAAATTGTATTCCCTTGCATTCATATACAATGTGAATGGTAAATCAGAATTTCGATCATTGAGTGTGTATTCTCGTGGATATTCTAACATTTCTCCACAATCATAACTAAAAGTCCCTTATATATATTATCATTAACACATTTAAAATATTTATGTTTTTCGGTAGCAACTTGTTTTTCTTTCATGTATAACAATTACTATTAATACTATAATGATTGATGAATCGATCACTTCGATCCAATACAGACTTAAAACAAACAAAACTGTTTGATTTTCCACTTCCTAAATCCACACGCAATTTCACAAAAAATCAACAGTCATCTTCAAAAATTTTCAAATCTGTTTGCACCATTTTACCTTCTTCTTCGAACAATCTTCACTCGAAGAATACTTTTCCTTCTTCGTCTTCAATCACTACCGTTACTACTATGATGTCGACGTCACCTCCTTCATCACCTTTTGCCACTAATTTGAACACAATTGATCGACCAAATGATTCAACGACTACATCAGCACCAGACACTACGACAAAATACGAAGCTGTCGACAATTTCAAACAAGCAGAAGAAACTTTATTAAAAATTATTCCCGTACTTGATTGTAAACAGGCAGACAATCTTTTGGATTGTATTTCGACAATAGAATCAATCTTTTCACAATTAAAATATAAGGAAAGATCATGGATTTCTTTATCATATGATTATTTAGATGATTTTTTACAACGATGATATAATGAAAAACTTTCCTCTTTTAAAACAGATTGGCAAGAATTTAAAAAACATCTTCATTCTTTTTTTAATCAAACATCGTCAAATATACCATCTACAACAAAGACCGTAACATTTTCCTCATTGTCATCAGATGAAACCGAACAAGAACATTATCAACAAGACTGTGACATTCAAAAACAACGAGCAGCAGAAATTCAACAAGCGCTTGGCGCCATCCCGCGGTTTAAGAGAGACGGTGCCGAAGAGTGGTTTTCCGATGTTCTTCAAAAATTTGGAGAATTGAATTTAGATTCAGATACCATGTTATATTGTATTAGAAACAAATTCGTTGGTGCACCACTTTTATGGTATTACGAAAATTCATTTGAATTTACAAATTTTCCTACATTTGTTAAATCATTTCGTCTCAAATATATGGACTCTTCGACATCTTCCACTAGCCAATCTAACTCGAAACCTCCTTCTACAAACACTGATGATCCAAAACCTCAATCGTCTTTTAATACAACAGTTTCAACAAAACCTGGTACTATACAATCTTCAATTTCTTCTCACGTCGATTCTGTTGAAAATATTTTACAAAAATCTTTTATTGAAGAGATTATTACGAATCCCAAAAACATTTACTGATAAGGAAAATGTATCATCACGGTTAGAAGAAATTGAGCAACAGTTTACAACATCTAAATGGCCCGAAGATTCACGTCTTCAGTATATTCCTCAATTTCTTCGAAATGAAGCTAGACAATGGTATAAAGAAAATAAAACAAAAATCACAACATGGTCACAATTTAAAACGGATATCAAGCATATACATCTACGTATGAAGTCACTTTAGCATTCCAACGTCTCAAAAATTATCAACAAACCAACAATCAAACAGTTAAACAATATTATGCAGAAATCCTCAAGTTATGCAAAGAAGCTGATATACAAATGTCCGAACAAATGAAACTACAATATCTTCTTGATAATTTAAAACCATCCATAAAAATTAAAGTCATTGAAAAAAGTCCTAAAACAACAGCACAATTTTTGGAATATGCTAAAACTGTCGAAGATCTACGAACTTTAATTAGCTCTGATCCTAATTTGAGTCATTTTGCGTCAGATAATGTGACAGCAACATCAACGACTTCTCGATCTAACACATCTTTAAAAGTTTACATACCACCACCTCGACGTTCAAATAGTAATCAAACACAACAAGAACAATCTTTTCCAACTTCAACTGAACCTCAATCGTTGACGCATTCAATTCAAACGTTGTCCAGTTCTGAACAACCACCTTCGAAAAATACACACTCTTCTTTTCAACAACCACCTTTACATAGTACCCAGTCATCTTCTTATAGTACAAGTAATTTAAATTCTAACCGAGATCAATATCAAAGTCACTCTAACGGTTGGGACTCGCGTGGTGCTCGCCAGCGACGCGGTCCGCATTTCCACTGGCGGATGCATCGGATGGTGATGCTTCCGACAATTGTAACATCCAAAATCCATCACTAATGTTTATTTCTGTCCTTGTAAATAATACCCCAATCAAGGTTATGATTGATACTGGAGCCACTAACACGCACATCACCGAGAAAGCATTGTCATATACACATCATAAAAAATTTCTTAGCAAACATCCATGGAATCTTTGGCAAGCGGACGGATAAACGCCACTTCAAGTCGTTGGCGTCGTACAGCTTCAGATTAAAATTAACTCAACTATTACAAGTATTTCTGCATACGTTGTAAAAAATCTTTGCACGCCATGTTTATTAGGAGTTGATTATATTAATAAATATAAATTGAAAATAGACGCTGGATCACAAATTGTCACTATTACAAAAAAAAACGAAACGGAAAAACGAACGGAAAAAACGAGAGCACTACTAATATTATCAGAAATTCAGATTCAATTCGATTTGCAGTTCGTCTAATAAATTCTGTCGTTATACCACCACATGAGAATCAATCTGTTCCAGTATTCACCGATATATCAAAAGCTTCGGCGACTTTCTACCCTTCATTTAATTTTGAGCAGCGAAGTCCTGTTGTTTTATGTAACAACATACTTGAAATAGAACGTTATCATACCTCAGTTTTGATTCAAAATCCTTCTTCGTTTCCACAGTATTTAGGAAAGGGCTTAGTTGTTGGCGTTGTTCGATTACCAACTTCATCAATATCTTCTTATGCTTCGACAAAGGATATAAGTAATGTTTCTGATAAATCCATTGCAAGGATTCGGTCCATTCAGGTCCATTCGGTCTATATGAATGGAACGTTTTGGCTCAAGGTCTCAAAAACTCTCCTCCAACATTTCAAAGAGTTTTGTCGAAGACATTAGAATCGTGCAGAAAATTTTGTCTAGTATATCTCGACGATATTATAATTTTTTCTAAATCATTCGACGAACACGTTCAACATCTGGATCAAGTTCTTTCTCGTCTGCACCAAGCCAATTTTCAACTCAATCCATCAAAATGCGCGATAGCTAAAACTGAAATCGATTACCTTGGTCATCGGGTCAATCAGTATGGAATTTCTCCATTACCGGAAAAGATTTCCGCAATTTTGTTATTAAAAGAACCGAAGACTCTAAGAGTAGCCAACTGTTTTATTGGCGCTCTCTCTTGGTATCGTCAATTCATCCCACGTTTCGCGGCCACAGCAGCTCCTACTCATGTAGTTACCAATTTATCTAAAAATATGCAGCATAACTTTCAATGGACCACTGCTCAATCGACTGCGTTTCATGAACTTAAGAAATTATTAACCGAAGCCCCACTATTTCTTCATTTTCCAGTGGACAAACATCCTGTCATTTTGTCGACAGATGCAGCGAAAAATGGAATTAGTGGTGTCCTTCAACAGGAGATAAATAGTCAGATGTACAATTTATATTATCATAGTCAATTGATTAATCAAACTCAACAGCGATATGATACCGGTGCAAAAGAAGCATTGGCTATAGCCTTATCATTCAATAGAATGAGACAATTCGTGCTTGGACGTGAGATCATCATATATACGGATCACTGTCCTTTATGTGGAATGCATCAAAAATCTCTGCGAAATACACTGGCAAATCGTATATCTATTCTTTTACAAGAATACAATATAATTGCTGTCATTCACATAAAAGGAAAATTTAATTGTCTGTCAGATTATATGTCACGCCATCCACTTGAATTTAATGATCCAGATATGATTGATCCAAATTAAGGATTGAAAGTTACGTCTTAAGAACTTAAGGATAGATCACAGCTCTCGAAGGTTTTAGTGACCGCAGTGACAACAAGATTACAGGCTAAACGACAGCAACAGCAACAAATATTAAATACAACTACGATTGACACAGACTTAGATGAAAATCTTATAGATTCAAACGACTCATCTGATAAAATTTCGACAGATAAAAATAATATTGATTTTGTTCCATTCGGTTGCAATAATTTTGATATTCGCAAACTTAAAAATGAACAAGATAAAGATACCAATATTCAAAAAATAATCGAACAGTTAAATAAAAATAAATTCACTAAAATTAATTTTGTTTTAAAAAATGGAATTTTGTATAAATTAGTTCAATTCTCTCATTCTCAACGTAAAAAACAATTACCGTACATTCCAATATATATGATTAAAGATTTGTTGAGAGCTGCCCACGATGATCCTATTAGTAGTCATTTTGGTTTTCATCGTACATATCTTAAATTAAAACATCAGTATTGGTGGCCGAATATGAAATCGTCAATTGAAAAATACATTAAATCTTGTTCTAAATGTCAACAGTTCAATATCAGTCGACAGAAAAAACCAGGACTTTTGCATCCAATCACTTCACTAGATGGTCCATTCCAGATGATCGCAATCGATTACGTTGGACCCCTTCCTCGTACTCCATCAGAAAATCGCTACGTTTTTGCCATTACCGATATGTTCACACGTTGGGTCACAGCCGTAGCTCTCCCGAGCTGTACGGCGCAAGTGACCGCAGAAGCCCTATTTAAACATTACATCTGCCGATATGGAGTCCCAGTATCTATTCTTTCTGATAACGGTACGCATTTTCGAAATCAACTTTTGCAATCTTTAGAATATAAAATTGGAATAAATTATATCTTTTCGACCCCATATCATCCACAGTCTAATGGAGTTATCGAAAGATTTAACGCAACATTTATCCCACAAATAGCAAAACTCCAAGATATGGAACATAATAATTGGGATGAGTACCTAGATGCCGTTGTATTTGCTTACAATACCGGCACTCATTCAATAACAAAATTTTCTCCATTTGAGCTTCAGTTCGGACGAAAGCCTCGATTACCGACAGATTTCCCTCGACCGGAATTGACTTTCTTCAAACCCAACGATTATTTTGCTCAATTAAATAAATCTCTCAAAATCTATCATAAAAATGTAACTGAAAATATTTTCAAACAGCAACGTCTATCAAAAGTAAAATATAATCAAAATCGCCAAGATCCTCATTACGACATCGGCGATCCAGTTCTTCTTACGATTCAAGGATCTCGTTCAAAACTCGACCCTCGCTTTCATCCAGCTCCAAAAATTATTGTAAAAACTCAACATCCTACATATTTTGTTAAAGATGAAGATACACAAGAAGAATTACAAGTTCATGTTAATGACCTCCGTGCCATCTTGGAGGCCAAACTTCACTAAAATTTTAATTTTAACGTCTATCAGAAAATAAAATATTTCCATGTGCTATATCTATTATGTCATGTTAATGCCTTTGTTCTAATTTGATTGTCAACGAAGTGAAAGTTGCCATGAGAATTAGAATTAAAGACATTGGTCTGGATGATTTGAATTTGCATATACGGGCTCTTATATTCAAATTTTCATCACATCGTTTATAAATATTGAGCGTTTGGAAAAATTCATTACAAGCCAAAAATCACGAAGCACAAGAGTTCTGAAACAGCATTTTTAAAAAAAAAATAAAAACGCCTTTTGTGCTGTCTCATGCGATCGAGACACTCAATCGACTTAGGTAGGATCTCGCTCCTTACGCGTAGATTCGGTTGTTCCATTTTCAACACCTTTTTTTTTCAACGACCATTCTCGTGAATTTCCATCATGATTTTACCATTGGCTAAATTAACAATATCATTTACAACCTCCACGTGGAGAATAATTTTGGAAGGATCTGGCCATTTTTTTCCGAACATCTGGCTAGATTGAGAGGTTTCAGCCCCTTCTATGGCGTGAAACCGGCCATTTCTTCCTAGACTTAGGTTTACTAATGTTCTCTTTCATCTATGTGTTTAGGAAAATGTCCATTTACAACCACATTCCTGCTCCACAATCTTTTCATAATCGTTCATCTAATCCACCATCTCATTTGAATCTTACTTCGAAACAAGCAAAAAATTGGCGTCGAGCAACCAAGAAATCAATGTTCAATGAAGAATTACGTAAAAAATACCCACCACTCCAAGTTAAACTGTCAGATTTTCAAATTATTTTTGTTGATCGAGCAACATGTCCAGACCAACTGCAGTTTTTACAAGAAGCGACTGCCAACGCATCATGTTTTTCAATCGATCAAGAATCTACGCTACAATTCAATCCTGTGACATATCAAAACGATACCATCCCATCATTAATACAAGTCCAAATACTAGATCAAAAACGAACCTTAGCAGTTGCATTATTTGAATGTTGTTACCTTCCATCGCCTAATTCGTCACAGTTCCAAACAATTATACAAATTTAGGGCAATATTCTCGATGGTTCAAAAATTATTAGAGGTTGGGGCGATCCATTCGAAGAATTGTCATCGTATGTGCCATATCAAATGTTCAAGCAATCTCAACTTTATCGGACGAGAAAACAAAGAGAAGAGAGTGATATCCAATCGCAGTATACGACGTGGACTGAAGGTTGGGTCGCGCTTTCAGGCAGAGACCCGAATATGGATGGCGATAATCAAAATGATGAAATCATTATACATGCACCATCATTAGAATTAGAAGAAAAAGGAAGTCTTCAAAAAGCTCTCTCTAATACCTATCAATTATTGTTAGACAAAACGTGGACAAAAAGCAAATGGTCAGCCGGTTTAAACAGACGATTAGCCACTTACATCGATTCAATACTATCGGGCGTCGAATTAGACCGCAACACAATTGTCTCGACGTCGAAAGATGGTCGAATATAGCGTGTACGACTGTATTGAGTAACGCTCATTTCGTTACATATCGCTTCTACTCGTCCAGAAGGTCAAACAGTCGTTTTGCCACGATCATCACCACCGTCAATTCATCATCGTTATCGACTGCCTTCATTTCGTCACAATTACCCGCATCAGTCGATACTGAATTCGATTTGGCACTATTTTCACCACCTACTGCTGATTCGAGAGTCGTCACGTTCATCCAATCCGATCCATCACCATCAATCATCATCCAGTCGAGAACCGTCAATATCCAACATGTCCCGTCAGCATCGCCACCATTTTACCAGCCACCACCTTCAAATCCGTCTTCAGCGTCTCATCACCCACACCTTTCTGATCCATCTTCATCACTTCATCAAACTCAATCTTCAACTGCTCCTCCTCATCAAAACCTATCAAAATATTATCGTAATAGAAAACTTGATATTCGAAGACGAAAACGTCGTTACTTCTACTCCATTAACCTTTTTAAGCATCCCAGGTTCACCACGCCCGCAATCAAACGTCATCTCAACAATCTACACATTAAATTTACACATATCAAACCGAAAATTGAAAATGGCGAAGAACGCGTGATAATCGGCTTCTCGCGTCCAAGTTACCGTCGCAGTTGCCGTCAAATCATTTCTGATGTCTATTTCACGCGATATAGACGTTTATGAACGGTGCTTTGCTTTCCATATTTTTTTCTGTTATTTTCTATATGAACTTATCTAGTTTTTATACTTTGAAATAAAAAAAAATAAAAATAAAATACATTCAGTTTTGCGGATAGATGTTACATCTTTTTTGCGGAGGGAGAGGGTGTTATGTCCCTTGACAGGTCATAGTCCTTTTCTGCTTCTTTTTTGTTACGCACATATGTATTTCTTTTCTTTGTTATATGTATTGATATCATCATCCATTTCTTTATTTCTATTATTATCATTCCTGACTATATTCGTCTGCAGATCATTTAGTTTACTTCAATTTTACTATTTTTCTTTTATGATGTTCGAGACAGTTCAGTCATGGTATATATGTGACT